CAGCATCCGAATGCGACCCCATAGAGAAGCCTCCAGCGTCCGGATTGTAGTAGAGATCCTCAATAGGCTCGCCTTGAAGTATCATAGGCGACATCGATCGGTGCTGCAAGCTAGCGGAAGCCTCCTGAGTGCAGTGGCAAGGAAGCCACGGTGGGGGCATCTGTATATCCTCATCCGGAAGCGGACTGACGGACCCGACCATCAGGAGATCCGGTGAAGGCGATCTGTCTCCTTGGCGCAGTTCCAACACTGGAGACATATCGGTACCGAGCACCGGTACCGATGCACGCTCTGCCTGTTCGCTCGGTGCCGAGCGGATGTCTCGGCGTCGAGGAGAGCGACCTCTCGACGTCGAGCGTGGCGCCGAACCATCCCCGCGCCGAGGCGACGGTGACCGTCTGCGCCGAGTCGGCGTCGATCCCTCGGTTCCGACGTCCTCGGTACCGAGGCGCATCGGCGGCGAAGAACGCTCCTGCGTCTTCTTATGCTTTTTGGCCTTTTTGGCCGGCGGTACTGAGCCAGCGCGAGACTGGGCAACCGCCTTAGCAGCTTTTGGCCGTATCGGGGCTGAGCACACCGAAGGGGTCTTCACTTTCTCTTGCTGGCCAGCAGTAGATACGGACAGGGCCCTCTCCCACAGCGCCGCTTTCAATTTGGCAGACCTCCCTTCACGAGCCCTCGGGGTGAGGGCCTTACAGGCCTTACAGGCTGCCATATTATGGGTCTCTCCCAAACACAGCACACAGGCTGAGTGCTCGTCAGACTTAGACATCTTAGCCCCACAAGTCTTACAATTTTTGAAGAGGGCCACTTTCTCCTTTTTCTCTTCTTTCTTTGAAGCCATTTTTCTTCTGAGGAAAATGTCTTCCCTCAAGCTTAGTTGTTCGCTCGCTCGAAGAACACGTCCTCTTTCGGTGGCGGCAGAAAGAGAACTGAGGGGAGAGGGCTGGCTCCGCCCAGGTCAGGTGGTGTTTTGGGCGGGAAACCGCCTCCTCGTTGGAGCCTAGCCCTCTCGGGTTGAAAATTCTAAAAAGAAGCTCGCTAGCTCCTCCCGGTGGTCGGCCTGCCTACTGCAGTCCCATGTGGGACCGCACAGAAGCCTTGAAAATGAATCAACATTACAATTAACAGGATTTTTCAAAATGTTTTGTGATTTGTGTTCTTCTGTTTGAGAAACTGCAAGTAGATAAATAGGTACCGCTTCGGTGGGAAGGTAACAGCGTTCCGTGCGCCTTGGTGTTTGAAAGGCTTCGGAAACGTCTTCAGACAGCGCTGGCTCTTCGGCTTTGAAACGGAGATGAGCACTGCAACCCTAGAGTCGGATTCAACTGGCTTTTGAGCAAGGGAACCTTTACCTTTACCATGTATCTATAGGCAGATTGTTTGTAGATGGTGCCATTGCCAATGAAGAACTTTCAAGGTATTTATAAGATTAATTTGTTGGTAATTTCAAAAACTGAAACCTGTATCTTGCATAAGAGTCTTATGGTGTAAACATAAGAGTTATACACTTCTAAGTCCACTGAAGTCAGTAACAGGAACTGTTACAACACAAACCTATGCTGAGTTATTGCAGTCTAAGTCCATTAATTTCAATGGGAGTAGAATACAGTAATGGAGCACAGGATTCCACCATTAAAACTGCAATCAGCTGACCTTCTAAGTTGTAAAGTGTGTTTATGTGGAACTGTTTCAGGTACTAGAAAAGCAAGTCAAAATAGATCTACCCATTGGCAATGTGGACAGTTCTCCTTCTGAAACCATTGTATGACATTTGCACAGGAGTGCAAACAGAGGAACACATGCTCCATTCCACTGTTTCCCAGCAGATGTCATCATGAGCCAACAGTACAAGAGAGCTAAAAGTGTCATGGCAACTAAAATAAGCAGATAAACCAAGGAAGGTGAAGACAAAGAGGAGAGCTTTAAATCAAAGGAAGGACCTTAAAACAGAAGGGGGTGCTTAAAAATGCGGTAATTTTATTCTTCAACACAAAGTCAAAAAAGATTATAAACCAACAGCCAAAAATTACTGTACATCAATGCAAATGGAAAAATTTTGTTCTAAAATAGGTATTCACAATACTTTATCTCTGTCATCAAGCGTTTTTGTTCCCATAAGCATTAAAAAAACCCCAAACCCAACAAGCAAGGTGCTGCATTTTAAAGTTTTACGTAAAAGAGAGAGATGCTTAAAATCAATTACATATTCTTATTCCTCTCCCCGAGTCAAACCATTACCAGTATCATCTCGTGGACTGACGTCATGCACAGTGCTGTTGACTATTTCCTAATGGCAAGGATGTTCAAAAAACCCCCGCTGCTATTAAAAAACAAAATGAAGGATTTCTGTGAAAATGCAAGCAGATGCATTTTAAATAGTCTTCCTCTTCTGTGTAAGCTCCACAGCTGTGAGGTCATAACGGCAGAGTAAAATATTTATTGCCATTAGTTATCTGCACTGTGGGGAATGCAAGCGCCATGTTCCGGCTTCTGCAGAATTATGTTCAGACCAGTTTTGTTAAACAGATTCACTGAACTAAGCAAATACTGTTTTTTTTAAAAAAAATAATTCCCAACAAGTAGTACTACCCACACAGGCAATTATGTTGACATAACTACTACTTCTACTGCCAGAAAATGCTTAGCGACACCCTATTTTAACACAGTGAGTAACAAAGCCCTGTGTTTTCTTTTGACAGCCTTCCTTCCCCTCATTAAAACTGTAGCAAAATCGGGGTACATGTGAAAGAAAGGAACAGTAGCAAGACCTCAAACTCCCCCAACCGTCCAGAACTGTACGGTGTAATTTTAATCACATTTCAGGCCATTTCATCACATTATCAGCTCACAACCTGATTTGGGATTGTTGCCTCTGAGGTGTTCTGCTGTTACATGGAGGAGGTCAATCCCACCCTCCTCCACTGAAGGGGTCCCCCCGGCCATCTTTGCTGCTGTGGTATTGGTGCTGCTAGCGGTATATATCCTTCTGTTACATCTTGCCAGAACAGCAATCAAATAACTGAGCCCAGAGTAGACATCTCAATGTTGTGGGTTTTTTTTTCTTTTGGAATATTCATATGTTAAAGGAAAAAATATATGCAGGATGTTAAAGAAATCCTATGAGGTCAGTCAGCAAAAGAGGCAATATCCCTTCATATGAAAACTTGTAAACATTTTAATGGCTCACAACCATTACACTTTAATGGTCTGCAACCCGATCACTGCAGGTCATGCATAGCTTTCTGCAAAAAAGAAAACAACAAGGAACCTGTGGATATCAAATATTGTTTCTAATTTTCTATACATGCAACAAGGTGAAAGTCTTATCGCTGTTCGGAAAAAAATACCTTTTACAAAATTGTACACAGTGAGAGGGCTCTCGCTAGCGTTTCTGTAATGGCGATGGCGTCATTCCAATTTAAACATTGTGCTTTTAGTTTCTTTTTAAATCTGTTTTTCCATGTATCAGAAATGCAAGAAACTCCTACCTTCATGATCCAAGTTTTTTTTAAAAAGTTCCCTGGAGTGATGGTTTAGAATTCTGAAAATGCTCTGCATTAACTTTTGTCCTGAGAAAAGATTATTGCAGGTCCTAGCATCTTAAAAGCAAGGCGAGATGCCATGATACACACCATTCTTGTTGCCTGCTCTCTTGAGCTATCCCTGAGGGGATTGTTTTAAAGTTATGACTAATTCTTCTAAACCCCCAAATTAAAGCATCGAGCATTCTGTACCATAAATATGTAAATCTTAAACAGCAGAAGAAATATATCGCTGAGAATAACCATGACTTGATGTCAGTCAGTAATCAAATATATCCCAGCATCTTATCTATTCCTTTGCGAAAGCCTTGACATCCTTACTTTGCAAACCTTATACTTGAGAGAATCCCCTGGATACCACTGGGAGAGGTCCCAAAGAACATATTACTTTCAAGTTATTCCAGCATTCAGCTTAGCTGAAGACACACTGTGCCCTGAAATTAAACAGCCGATTTATAAAACCACACACAATATGGAAACAAAAGAGTTCATAATTGGTTTATCGCTATAGCTTTGTGCTCAATTACATCTGCTTGTGAGAAATTGAAATCCATGTGGCTCCAGAAACATATCCAGAGACATACAGAATGCAATTTTATTAGATGTCCACATGTAATGTGGTCATGTAGGATGAGGTGAGGAATAGCAGGTGGCAGAGAAAAATCCATGATATGGCACAACACAATACCTTATTTTAGATACTCAACACTAAAATGATATGCAAAATCCCCCACATCTGAAATACCATCAACTCATTTATTTATAATAAACTTGACTAAGTTGGAAAACACACACCATACTTGTCCATTATATTTGTTGCACTGTCTTTTACATAAAACAGTACTTTGGAACTCACAAAAAATAAAGCAGCACTTTCTTTCAATACCAGCACTACTGTAACATACAATGTAGTGTGGCGTGCAAATCCACAATGGCAGTCCTTACTGTTTTTGTATTAACGGAATGGTAAGTTTCTATTTCAAATATTAGTAGCACAGTAACAAGAAAAGAGTGCCCCCCACTGGCTACACAGTAGTTTCATAAACATGGAGCATGATGCTTATATCCAGTAATTTTTAAAAGTACTATAATAATCACCTTTGTAGCACAAGGATTCCAGATTGCTGGATTGCATTTGTTACCACTCAGAATTAATGTACATTTTGGTTTTCAGTGAGACATCAACATTGCTGTCATATCCAAGCCACCAATACTATTAAAGAATGTCATAATTTCATTGCACAAAAATAATTTGTCCTTTTAGTAGAATCCATTGCGTAGCAGTTACGTGTGTATGCCACAGAGTCTGGAAGTGTTCCAAATTTGTTATTGTTGGTAAATAAGGTCTGTATAATGAGAGTCATATTTAAAATTGTTCAGACTGAGCTGAGTTTCACAAGGCCACGCACTGAGTCTTCATGCAATGAGTCTTGGCTGGCTAGGCTGAGGACATGCATGGTATGGCTATGTGTCACAGGACTCCCCAATGGCAACATTCCAGGCGGTGATGGAGCTTCTTCAGGAGTAAGGAACTGATGACTTTCAGGATCCTCCTTCAATGGTATCATGTCTGACAAACCTGTTTCTGATGTGAGATTTGGCATGGAGGAGGGTGGAGTCGGCTGCCCTAGTGTTAACGTGGCACAGGGAGCACTGATAGTGGTCTTTCCCGGCAAAGGCAGCTCTTCACTAGTAATGCTGGGCTCACTCTGGAGTAGTGGTGTGGCAGCAGCCTGCAAAACGAATTTAGTGCTCTGAATGCACTGATCTTGATCACACTGAAGAATTGAAGGACGCCATAATAAAACACACAGCATATGAGAAAAGAAGGAAGAAATGGAAGGATGTGGGCAAAAGAGGAATGGATTGTGAGGAGAAAGAAGAGAGCTGTGTTAGTAATACTCTTCTGTAAACTTGACAAACAGAGCAAGCACAACATCTCAGTGTTTCAGGACAGTGACAGTATATATTACGACAAGCATTTGCTGTATGTAAGAGCCAGAGTCCTCATTTATCTCTAAAGAAACAATCTCTGAATGATGCTGACAGTTCCCCAACAAGTAATTATTCTTCTGTGTAAGCCTGGTGACTACTTTTGGTCAGGGTTGCTTGGGTTCACTGCATAATGCCAGAGACCTTTTCTACCAGCATTGGACAATGGAAAGCGGTTCCAATTTCTCTAGAATGACTTTGCACATGTCTCTAACAGACTAGAGTCTCCAGTACTCTGCATAGGCATAGAGTATGGGGGCATAGGGGGCACAGCCCCCCAAAATTTTCCAGGGGGGACTGACCTCCCCGCTGGGGCAACCAGTCCAAGCAAGTGCTGCTCTAGCGCACACAGGTCCTGTGGTCTGGTTCCAGGTTTGTCATCAGTCTGAGGCAGCCCGACAAGGAGTGGGGGGCCCTGGGCTCAGGCAGCAACACCACCCCCTTGTTAGCAGCAGCAGCCAGCACCCCTCCCACTCCCAGCAGGTCTCACTGGCGTGGCGACACGTGGTGGTGCTGGCATCTTCAGCCTTGCTCTTGCCATCACCACCAAGCCTCACGAGTTGAGTCAGGCTGCACTGCCCAGGGAGCCCCAGTCTAGGCAGGTAAGGGTTGGGCTGGGGGGGGGGGCAGTGGGCTAGCTGGCCTGGCCCGGGCTCCTGAGTCCTACCCATCATCCCGGCGGCCCTTGGCCCTGCAGCAGCCATTGGGAAACTAGGCAGCAGGAAGCCTGCCTGGGTTCTTCTGCTGTTTAGTAAAAGGCACCTGCCGAGGGGCCTCCTTCAGCCAGCCCCATCCATTGGAAAGAAAAAGAACCTGTGTGTGTGAGTGTGAGAGAGAGAGCCTCCGTGTATGAGTGTGAAGAGAAACAGCCTGCCTGGGGGGGAGGGGTGGAAAGAAAAAGAACGTGTGTATGTAAGAAAGTGCCCGCATGTATGTCTCAGTGTGAAGGAGAAACAGTGTGGGGGTGTGTGTAAAGAAAAAGTATGCCTGTGTGTGAGTGCCTGCATGTATGTCTCTGTGTGAAAGAGAGAGAGAAAATGCCTGTGTGTAAGTCTGAGTGTGAAGGAGAAAGAGCCTGCCTGAGGAAGGGGGGAGGGGTTGAAAAGAAAAGTTGAGAGAGTCTCACCCAAATCAGCTGGACCCTGCAGGAATTAGAGTCCTTAAAGAGTCCTTTGCCTCTGTCTCTGCATTTGCAGAAGTGAGTCAGTGGCTCACATCTGAAGTACTGGTGATTGAAGCCTCTCATGTAAACAATGAAAGCAGCTTCTTTCTTGGCTCAGGTGAGAGAAGGCAACTTTTCTTCAAAATAAAGGGGAGGTCCTTGGGTCAAATTCAGACAACTGAACTTTGGGCTAGTTACTGATTCCTCCATTATGCTATGTTGGTGCTGCATTTTCCCATTAGCAACAAAGGCAACAATACTAACCATCTCAGGCTGCAATCCTAAACACTTTCCTAGGAGATTGAAAAAAATGGGGCCCTTCTGAGTAGACTGGTTTAGGATTGCTCATTCAGAATCCTTCAGGTTGAAAGACATAAATCCTTTTAAAATATGTATAAATAAATAATATCTCTATTTCTTTTTCTGACCCAGAACATATATTTTTCACCAAGCCCTGCACCAAGATGAATCTTGACTCTTTATGTAAATGATGACAAGTCTATTTCTGTAGTATTTTGACATTTTTATTAAAGCTTTTAAAATTCAGTCTTAAATGAACCCCCTCCAGAGGACTTTGTGCCCGTTTAAAATAATTCTATCAATCTAAAAAATAAAATAGGTGTTTAGAATATTACAATACTGTATAGAGGTAAAGGTAAAGGTTCCCTTGCTCGAAAGCCAGTCAAATCCGACTCTAGGGTTGCGGTGCTCATCTCCGTTTCAAAGCCGAAGAGCCAGCGCTGTCCGAAGACGTTTCCGTGGTCATGTGGCCGGCATGACTAAACACCAAGGCGCACGGAACGCTGTTACCTTCCCACCGAAGTGGTACCTATTTATCTACTTGCAATTTCTTGCTTTCGAACTGCTAGGTTGGCAGGAGCTGGAACTAGAGACAGGAGCTCACTCTGTCATGTGGCACCCGGGTCTTGAACTGCTGAACTACTGACCTTCCACAGCCTGCAGTTCAGCACCTTAACCACTTGAGCCACCGCAGCTCCTGTATAGAAGTCAGCCATTAAAAGCCAAAATGGTAATTAGTCTCTTGGTTATATGTTGTTTGTTGTTGTTGTCTGTGTCTCTATGTCTGTGTTTAGGAATATAAGAAAACAATAAAGGTGTACCTTCGGGTACTTAAAAAAAAAAGCCACCCCAAGCAAGGATTTAAAACACTTCTGGAAAAATGTTAAGGCTCAAACCTTGGTGATACTGTAGAGGAAGTGAATTCCAGAGCTGTAGTCACCAAGTGTGCTAGCGTACATTTGTGGTACAAACTTGGTGCAATCCACTAGGATATTATGCTGAGCAGATCACTTCAGAAGGAACCGGAGATACACAAATATTCCTCTGTACCTCTCTGCTTCATTCCTACTGAGCTCATGCAGGAGATGTTTTCTGGTAGGCATTGGGAGAGTTCAGGAGTATTTTGCAATGTCCTTCAAAATTACTGTGGCTCAGTTCAAATGTAACATGAGGCCATGATTTAATTAAAATGTGATTAGTGTGCCTAACTGAATGCATGCAAGCCACTCTACTGATTAATTAGGGACCCTCAAACCAGAATCTGAAATCATAGTTTGAAGTTAAACCAAAGCTAAACCATAGCTAAACCAAAGTTAGTCTTAACTATGGTTTTGTGCAGTGTGTGAATAAAGCCATGTTGACTTAACCCTGGCTGGTTTCTTAGCATCGCTTTTACTCATTCCTGAATATAGAGATGCCCGGCCAGAGCAAAGAAGAAACCACCATTGAGTGATCATCTGTAAGCCAAATCCTGTTTTCATAAGCTAACCCTGGTTTTGGATCTGAACTAAGCCCATGAAAAGTTCACTCTCAAAGTTAGAGGTGGCCTAACCCATTAATGATTCTATATGCTTATGTCATATCTGAACAGCATGGGGGCTGCTTTCTTGGGTCTTTTTACCATGTGACAACAGTATAGGATTCTACCACAACCTAGAAAGCATGAAAATATGTAATGGATATAGCAGTTTGCTGACTGAAATGCATCAGTTAGGTTTTTTCTGGTAATTTTCAAAAATCAAAAAGCCAGTACAACCCTTTGTTTTCAGCCATAATTTCAACATAATTTTTTGTTACTGTATATCATGTAGTTATGTTTGATGCATGGGTGGAAATTTTTGGCTAGTTTCAATGGGGAAAAGGTGGGGGTTGGAATAGGTGCAATGGGGAAAAGGTGGGGGTTGGAATTGGGTGATATATGGCAACCATATATTGAAAACAGATCAGCCAATATCATAATGCCCCTATATAAATCAATGGTACGACCTCATTTGGAATACTGTGTGCAGTTCTGGTCACCACACCTTAAAAAGGATATTATAGCTTTGGAAAAAGTGCAGAAAAGGGCAACTCGAATGATAAAAGGGTTGGAACACTTTCCCTATGAGGAAAGGTTAAAGCGCTTAGGGCTCTTTAGCTTGGAGAAAAGACGACTGAGGGGTGACATGATCGAGGTTTATAAGATTATGCATGGGAAAGAGCAGGTAAAGAAAGAGGTACTTTTCTCCCTTTCTCACAATACAAGAACCCGTGGGCACTCCATGAAATTGCTGAGCGGTCGGGTTAGAACGGATAAAAGGAAGTACTTCTTCACCCAACTAGCTACTCTGAACTCTGTACATTGCTCAGAAATTGAGTGCAGAGCAACTGTTTGGTATTCTGGCTACGAGACTTCAGCCGTGCATATACCAAACAAAGGCATCTGTGATGCCATAATTTGGTAAATTTCAGTACAAAGTTACCAATATGAATAAGGCAGAAACAAGACTCCTGTAAATGAATGTCCAGGAAAACTTTTAAAATGTTCCCCTACAGGCTTTTCTGTGTTGCCCTCAATTTTGTGACCATTTGTTTGTCTTATGCACATGGTATGTATATTTGCAGATCTTAAAGTGACTATTCTAAAAGTGAATATAAATAAAGAAGAAGAAGAAGAAAAGACGAGATTGGATTTATACCCCGCCCTTCACTACCCAAAGGTGTCTCAGAGCGGCTTACAAACTCCTTTCCCTTTCCCTCCCCACAACAGACACCCTGTGAGGTAGGTGGGGCTGAGAGAGCTCTGACAGAAACTGCTCTTTTTCAAGAACAGCTCTTATCAGAACACAGCAGGAGACCACTGAGATACCACTTTAACCACTGGCCAACTCCCACCTTTTCCTGGGTTTAGCCCAGCCCAGGGGAATGGCTAGGGGGGTTCCCAAGGATTCCCAGGTTCCCCTAAATTTCTGGAGAGCCCCTTCCTTAATCCCACATGGCTCTGCCTCTATAGATAGTGGCCTGTGATGTCACTGGCTCCTCCCTATGATGTCACTGGGCCTTGGTACTTTTAAGGATGTAGCATAGCAATGCCTCTGGCCCAGCCCCAGCCCCCCCCCCCGGGAAATTGGAGTCTACGCCCTTGGCTACTCTGTATCTATGGTGGTGACTGGCTTCATTCTCACATGTGCATGTTCAAAGTTCATGCTTCTGGTAACATGCCTTGGCTAACATGACACTGAAGGAGGAGCCATTAGATAACATGTTTTTTGATAACACACTATAGATAAAGAAACAGCCACACTATGGAAATTCACAGAAAGCGCACACTTTAAACATGTCTCT